AATGCATCACCTCCTGCCACTGCCATGGTGGCAGTGACGGCTGTGGCATGCTCCTTGGAGGCTGGCTCTGCCACCTCCTTGCCCCCCCCCACCTCTACAGCAGCCTCTTGGCAAATAGGAGGTGCTGCTGGTTCCCCCTCCCTGTTCCTCATGTAGATCTTTATTCCTACCTTGTTCCTGACATAGATTTTCACTCAAGCTTTCTTCTCTGGCAGTGGGGGGTGTTTTGTGGTTTGCCTCAGGTCAGAGCTGCCAAGTTGAAGAAAATATTGGTGCGAGGCCGAACAACGATGGTGATAACAAACTATATAGCAAAAAAATGTTTTTGAACTTTTAAAATCCAAAGGTAAAGCTGTAGAAAAAAGAAAGCCACCAGCGGTGGAACGTGCTATAGAAGATCTGTTTTCAAAGGCATCAAAGTGAGGTTAAATGTGTGATTGCATTTAACTTGTCTGTTTCAGTGGTGACCTGGTGCTGTGACTTTCGAGTGTTTAGAGGTCGAGAACCATATTGAGAAGTAGCGAAAATGCACTGGATAGCCTTGGAAACGATACACAAAGGTGCAGTCACCCTGTTGATTGATTTCCTGTTTCTCCACTGCTCTGTATATGCCCTAGGCTGGACCCTTAAAACTGCAAATGGGGAAATAATTATCATTGCTAAGAGTTGTGCAGTGATTTGTATGGTGTAATCTACTTTTATGGTTCTGTAGATTAATGAGAAAATGCATTTCCTTTACTTTATTGCACAGGTTTCTATATTTTTTCTTTCTTTAATACCTTGACATTAATAGAAAACAAAGTGAAAATGGTATTACTAAATATCCCATGGTCCTAAATAACGCTGTCTTTTGAAGGCCAGTGGAGATTTCCATACTAATTTCCATACTAATGGAAAATCTGGCTTATTTCAAATGTCTCAATGAGACCATGACTAAATACCTAGGATGCTCCATTTCTTTCGCCTTTGTGTGAATTTTCATTTGGTTTACATGGTGACATCCTCAAAGAAATCTGTAATGTTGTTGCCATGTTCTGAACAGCATGAGGTTTAATGAGCTGGTTCTTCTCTAGTTACTAATATTAGGGGTGTGTGAGAACATTTACTGATGTCATTTTAAGACTTGAGGGCTCTATGTAATACAAGAAAGATGGAAAAATTCAGCAGCACTGTACACCCTGTGGAACTCACAACTGCTGACGTGGCTTGCCTTTATCAAGAGGCTTCCTGCATTCATATGGTATAAAGAAATCACCTTTACAACTGCAAGAAGCCAGTAGGTTCAGAAACAGGCAACCGAAATGACTAAAGGGCCAGAACAAGTCTTGTGTGAGAGAAAGGTTGCAGTATTTATGGCTTTTTAGTTTGGAAAGAAAAGTGAGTAAGGGTGGACATGCTAGAGATGTATAAGGTTATGCATGGTGTTTAGAAAATGGACAAGGAGACGCCTATCTCTACTTACCTCTCGTAACACCAGATCCCAGGAACAATCAATGGAACTGACTGTTGTAATGGGAGGCAAAGCACTTGTTCACGCAGAGCATAGTCAGAATGAGGAATGTGCTCCCATTAGATGACTTTAAAAGATTAGATACATTCATGGAAGATGTCATAGGCAGGATGCGTCGGAAAACCAGTTACTGGGAGAAGTTGGGAGTGTGCTGTTGCCGTCAGGTCCTGCATGCAGGATTCCCATAGGCATCTGCTACTGTGTGTGTGTGGATGGCAGCTTGGGCCTGATGCTGACTAGTGTCAGTTGTGCAAACAACTTGGGGACCAGTTGACTCCTAGCCTGGCTCAGGTGCATCCTCAACCCACCCTCAGAATGCCCTGTTTGGGGGCTTTCCTCCAGACTGGGAGGGATACCACTAGTAGACCATCAGTCAGCAGGTGGAGGTCTGCACTGCTGGAAAGCCAGCTGAGCTGGGAGGGGTGAGCAGAGGGACAAGCTGAGCATTGATTGCAGACAAACTTACTGGAACAAAAAGAGGATAAGTCAATGCACTTCTCTGCTCCCCCCTAGAAAAGAGGTGAGAAGGAGAAATAACTTTGCTCTTAAACTGCTTTGTTCCTCTGCAGAGACAGAGGAAGGGAGTAGTTATATAGCTCTCCACTTCCTTCGACACAGTAAAAGGAGAGTTAAGCTTTCTCTAGAGCCCCTCCACAGTTTCTTCACAGGTATCCTATAAATTGTGTACAATTACATTAGGAAGCCACTAGATGGAAACCCTTCCTTGCCGTTTACAGACCCGAAGGAAGGCAAAAGGCTAGCGCTGTATAGTACAGACAAAATACCTGGGGTTAAGATCCAGGCATGTGTAGGATATTCAAAATGTTTTTATCATCAGTATTTTGGAAGTGTATTTATGCTGACAAGCATGAGTTGCGCTCCTCAGAATGCTCCATGGAGATTCAGACTAAACTTTAGGAAGAATTTGCAACTCAGTGGCATGATGGGAATAACAGAACAATTGCCACATTGAGTTCCCATTTGTGCATATACAAAATAGCATGGGAGCTGTTTGTCCCTGGTGCAATCCCAAACCCATGAGTACCACGACCATGTTGGGTATGGGGTCATTGCTTTGTGTCCCCAATTTAAACTAAGATAGCAAAATGCTTCAGTTGCCTGGCTTGTCTAGTCATCGGGGTGTAGCAAGCTAGTTCTATGTATATTCCCATTCTGTTATTGTGATTTCACTTGAAAGAAGGGATGCATAGGGGCATAACCTGTGACTGGGTGCAGAGGTAACCAGGTGTGGGCTTTTGTGTGGAACAACTGTGAGCTCAGCTCAGTTCTGGTATCAAAACAAATTCCTGGATTCATAAATTTTTTTTTATTCTAAGTGTATCTATTCTGCACCTGGCTCCTGCTGGTGGATGTTAAAATTCTAGTTAAAAAACAAAGGAAATGCCTCAAGCCTGACGTCTGCCCTTCCCTGGGATATAAAATATCAAGACAGCTGCTTGTGGGAAGAACTGTGTGTCAAGAGAAACTGTGTCCTCCTGATCCAGACATTGGTATTTACTCTGCTCCTGAAACAACTACCAAATCAGAAGAGTCTGGGAATGGGGGGAGAAATTCACTTCAGTTCCCATTCAGGGGTGAATCTACCTAATTCAGAGTTTCTGAACCCAAAACCCAACCAGCCTACAAAATTCACACCATGTTGTTGCTGTCATTGTTGACTAACTGGAAATCACAAATCCATTTACCTCAGATCACTTAAATTGGCAAATGGGGGCAGGAGAGGATGTCCACAGGCAAATGCCACAGGGTAAATTTGCTTATCTATGCCATGAAGTATATGGAAAAACAGTCCTACTGCACTAACATTAGTAAGACCCACTCTGAAGGAACACCATTCTTGCAACAGGGGATATGCTGCCAAAAGCAATCCTCTTATAGATTTGGCTGAGCCACAATTTCCCTTCATGTAGCCAAGCAGCTTTCTGTTTAGAACAAATCAAAATCTTATCTCGGCAGTGCATATCTACAAGTTTAGAGGTAATCATGGAAAGCCTTTTTGCTAAAGTAGTCTTCCTCCAGAATTATCTTTATTTTAGCATCTGTGCAAGGCACGATTATAGCGAGAATGGGTTTTTGCAAGTAGGCAAGAATCCAATCGGATAACTGGTTCCAAAACTAAACTTTATTAATGCATAAACACACGACCAAGTGGTTTTCAGGAAGCTTTGGGGTTGAAAGGCTGAATCAAACTTAAGAATTTTTGGTTTTGCTGTAGGAAAGCACCATCTTAACACAGTAAACACAGGAAAGTTGACTTGCAGTTAAATGAGCAAGACCACTGGAAAATTGTTTTAATACACACAGATTAGAAAACATAAAACTGTTTGGATGGAAAATAAGAAAGGAATTAAGGGGATCGAGTAGCAATTAGAAGCCAATGTTTATGTTATGTCACATCAACTTGTGCTGTATTACATCAAACTCTAAAGTGATGCCAAAATTCAAAGCAGGAAGGAAACGCCACTATTTTGTGTTGCTTGGGGCTAAGCTTGCATTCTCAAATCCAGATTCCAGTGTAAATCTTAACTGTAACTTCAGCTCCTTCTACTACGAAAAGGAGTGGGGAAATAATAGCATTTATTAAAGCCAGTCTTGAAGTTCTCACATTTAGGAGAAGTCTTTTGGGGCTGAATAGATGCCTTACACTGCTGTTGGTTGTAATCAGACTCCTTGCTGGGAGTATCAGTTGTTATTTGCTAGTCTGTCCATAAAAGGCTAGCTCTTCAATTCTGTTACATGTTGGGGGGGGGGGACGACCACTGCAAATCAGGCCTTAAAACTAAACCAGGAGGGCCACTCAGAAAACATTGGCATGTAGTGGACTAGCAATGACATCATGTGGATGTCTCTCTTTTAAAAAACCAGAGTGAACAAGGGATTGCAATTCTGGACCAATATTGGTCAACAGGGCTAGAATGAAAACAACCAGAGTCAGTACAACAAAAACAATTCACCCTAATTCTTCTAAGTCCACTTCAGTAAGAAGAGCAAGGCACAAGCTCTCAGTTTCATCCAGCAAAGAAACATTAATACGAACTGGGTTTAAAAGAATGCCAGCATCACTGATGCAATAGTGAACTACTTGAAGTGGGAAACATGGAAGAAAACAGATGCCAGTTCTGTACGTCACAGGAATTCCATTATGGTAGCATAGCCAAATGGGAGACCAATGCAAGACATACGTTTTTCACTGTCATACTTTCTGTATGGTTTGCAGTCACTCTGTGCTTGTTTATTGTTACTATTTTAAAAGAAAAGCAGTATCAGTTTGCCTTTCAGATAATCTTTTGGGACTTGATTAGAAGATAAAACGTGTTGCTCTCCATGTAGCAGGCAAAATACATATTACTATTGTAAAAACCTGATAACTGGTGGTGGTGGTTGATACCGTTGTCATCAACACCATTCTTAGCCTGTCTTTCTGTCTGTAAGAAGCTTAGAATAATAATAAACAGTAAACTCACAATGGTTAACACAAGAAAAATCAACGTTTATTTTTCTAAAAACCCACCCAAATCAATAAAACATTTTAAAAAGTATAAAAGACACAGCCAGATGAAAACAGTGAACTGTACCCTTCAAAAGCTTGCTGAAACAAAACAGCTTTGCTTACAGACCAGCAGTGATATAACTATGTGGACTTAAATGGGAAGGGTATTCCACAAAGTAGACACCATTACCAGAAAGCCCCCTGCCCATTCTGGTTTCTTTGGCAACATCATTGGCAAAGCATAAGCTTTCAGATGGGCTCCAATACTTGTTGCAAATTCTTCACCACTTCTTCCCCGTCTTCCTAGTTGCTTCCTTGCCTGTAAATCTCTGGGAAAAATAGGAAGTTTGGCCAGGCTGTTGTCAGCAGGAAAGGCCGTTTACATGATGTTATGCTAACCACTCATGTCAACCTTGTTTTAACAGGGGAGCAAGAGCTAAGACAGCCAGGAATTCCCTGAGAACACTGAAAACCTAGTGGATCCGTTGAAGGCTACCCCACACCTGCTCAGGCTGCAAGTCCCCAGTAGTGAAACTTTCAAGGGTTACTTTCTGCTCAGAACGTTCTTTCGCAAAATTCGGAGCCTTGACATCACCACATCCCAGTCTGCATAAGCCCCTTCAAGGTGACGGGATATCTCTGTTCCTGCTTCGTAACTCTGCCGACCGTGAAGTAAACGCCAGTTGTCAAACACTACTATTTCACCTATAAATATGACGAAGGGTACGTTTTAGAATACAATTAGTAGTAAACATGTATAGAGTTTTCGAAAATGTGATAGACCAGGAGAAGTGAGAGACCAGGAGAAGGCCGGCCCAAGACATTTTGGCACCTGAGGTGAACCACAAAATGGTGCCTCCCTCCCTACTAGGGAAACAAGGGTGAGGGAAGATCTACATCAGGAACTGTGGGGGGAGGGAGGATAAATATCAACATTGGGTCTGCTGCCCCTGTGGATTCTGCCACCTGAAGCGGTTACCTCATGAGTGGGTCAATTCTGCTCATAGCTGACAATGTTTTGTGTTAGTGAAGCCCCATCAAGGCATTTTTTAAAATTGATGTGGCAATGCATATATAAATAATACAAATTTGTTGGATTTTATTGCACTAGCCAAATAACATCCAAAGAAGGAAAAGAAAGGGGAACACGCGCACACACACACACACACACACACACACACAGCAGTCGCTACATAGCTAGAGAAGAATGACAATATAGCTTTGAGCAGCCCCAAGAGTAGGAATGTTGGAGAAATTCAGTGCAGTTCACATTTTTAAGGTGAATTTTCCCATTTCGTGAAAAAAATGCAATTTGGAAAAAAAATTCTCTCTTTCAAAATTCAACCTATTTTTGGGATTCAATTCTCTCAAGAGAATGTGTACAAAATTGTATATATTGGTGAAAATGACATAAAAATGCAAGAGAAATTCATTGCAAAAAATGTATGTAAGTCAAAATTGCATGCAAATGTGTATATTAGGAGAAATATGCACTAAAATGCTGGTGAATTCTGGAGAGGACTTTTTTTTAATTGCAACCTATTGAGGAAATGCAATGAACTGCATTTAAGACTAAAAAAAAAAAAAGGGAAACTGAGAGAAACCACAATTGGCAGATTCTTCACTCCTGCATAAGAAAATTGCTATTCTTGCTACTGAAAGCATTTTGGCTTATTATGCAGTTACTTAACTTACCTGGTTTCATTTTGTAGATGCATTTATTATCTTTGCTGTTTAATAAATCAACATAGTCCTTGAGAGCAGCATAAAATGGCTTTACTTTCTCAGCAGGTATATCAAATACTGTGTCTCTGGTTGCATTGTTGAAGTTGATACGAACCACTTCACCTTTCTCATCCACACTGTTGATATATACATAGGGAGAAAAATGTGATGTCCTGAAACTATTTCAACAGGTTTGGTGTAAGAAAACATAATTCGTAATTATTTGAAATTGTTTCGTCTTATAAGGCTCCCATAGCAGCAGTTCTTCACTACCATGCAGTGCTTTGCTAAGGGTTATGGTAACAAAAAGCAGAATTAAAGATATAAAGATAAATTTCTCCTCCCCCCCCAACCCCGCAACTCTCCCCACCAAAGTATATTACAACGTGATACATCTAATAGTACAGACTTTTTTTTGAAAAAGCTGCTGTTTTTTTCTTGTCCACAAGATGGCAAGCTCACTTTTTGTTACTGAAATGGTGCAAAATGATAGCTGTTGCCTGTAATTCAAGATTAAACAGCTAGGCAGTGCCATCAGTACAGGATGAGATTGGTACGGTATAATCAGATGCTACTTTGTTACTTACTCTATAATTTTTTGTTTGGACTGCATGGAGAAATCGCAGTAATCAACCCCAATATCTGTGAAGTCCACGTAGGTGGAGGTCAGGATTTGGAAGGCTTGAGGGTTTTGTTCCTTAAGCTGGTTTGCTACATGAAATCCATCCACAACTTCACTTTCTCCCCCAGTAGGAGTCTGTTTTATACAATGGAGTAACTGAATCTGTAAGAAATTAATGCCACGTTATAACAGGCACTGATCTAGAAATGTCCCCTTTCATAGTCATCAGTTTATTGTTGTGGACTACATTTTTATTTTACGGACGCGGGTGGCGCTGTGGGTTAATCCACAGAGCCTAGGACTTACCGATCAGAAGGTCGGCGGTTCGAATCCCTGTGACAGGGTGAGCTCCCATTGCTCGGTCCCTGCTCCTGCCAACCTAGCAGTTCAAAAGCACGTCAAAGTGCAAGTAGATAAATAGGTACCGCTTTGTCGGGAAGGTAAACGGCGTTTCCGTGCGCTGCTCTGGTTCACCAGAAGCGGCTTAGTCATGCTGGCCACATGACCCAGAAGCTGTATGCCGGCTCCCTCGGCCAATAATGCGAGATGAGCGCTGCAACCCCAGAGTCATCCACGACTAGACCTTTACCTTACATTTGTATTTAAAAAAATCATTTCAACTCTGAATTAGCTTTGCTTTTGCCTATTGCAAACCACACCCTAGGCCTTCAGGATGGGCTGGACTAGATTTTTTTTTAAATTGAAAAAGGTTCTGACTCAGTACAGTTTTACACCTGTTTTCTACCAGTATTCCTCCAGTGGCAAATGGTTATAATACTTATAATGAAATCTGGATCAGGCCTAGATCATCCGTCATATGCACAGATAAGTATGTGCCATTACTTTATCTCTATTTCCTGGCAGGAGAGATGCCATTTCAGTGCAAACACAAAACAAAGCTGGCTAATAAGGGTAATGAATGGGCTTGCTGACCAATAGCCATTATACAGCTGCTTGATTCGATTTTTGCAATTGCTCCTGAAAAATGTGGGGGCAATTGTATTCAGGCAGTTGCAATTACTCTAATTAAAACTAAGACACTGGGTATGTTTATGGTGCAAAAATTATGGGGAGCTTTATAAAAGACTTTTAAGTCTAATCATACTGTAAAACATCGGGTTAAGTGAATATAAAACTGCCTAAGCACTGATTTCTGCTCACTTGATGTTCCTACAGGTAAGACTATGAATCACCTTTATCTGCAAGACTGTGGAAGGAAATCAGTGCTGTCTACCCACGACTGTGGCAGTAGCAGTTAAGGAGTAGGACTGACTGTGTGTGTCAGCTTTCATGGCTTCAATCCTTTCAAACCAGCAGGGATAGAACCCAAACCTGTACAAATTTGGGGCTTTCCCATTACTTACTAAAGTGGGGCATGATATAGAGGAAGGGGTCCAGAGGTAACAGAGCCTCGTGTTTGGTTAAGCCATGGAAAATGTAGTTCCATTTTCCCCATATCTTTAGGTGCTACTGTGAGAATGCACAGCAGCATCCAGTGACAATGGGAAAAGTAGAGCTACGTTTTCCATTGTTCCTAGTGGCCATGCTCACTACTGCTTTCCTTGTGGCAAGGAGTTCCATGGGTGTGCTTTCCTCAAGAACTGACCTTTGCTCTCGAGATATTGTGACTCAGCCTTTGGGCAGAACTTGCTGATCCAGAGACTCTAAGTCAAGAAGGTTTTTAAAATATATTTTCCTCCTTCTGAGCCCACCCCACTGTAATCACCTTCTGTAAATTCTTCTCCAGTTCTCTCTTCGCACTCAGCTTATACTTTATTCCTCCTCCAGCTGCCAGTTTCGTTCATCCCTCCTCCCCATTCCTTTTACATTCACTTCTTCCCCCTATAACTGCTTTCCTTTCTTACCTCTTTCCTTTCGATACCCAGTTTATTGATTTATAACATTATTATTTTGCTAATAACAATGAATGGTTAATATCTATTACATTACGTCACTTTCTAATTTCCTTCAGCACTTTCTCAGGCCCTTTCTTCCACCTCAGAGGAGGGAGACCTCCCTTCCTCCCTTCCTTCCCAACTGGCTTTACTCAGCATGCAAGGAGTTCCTGGTGCTGGCATTGGCTCAGCCAAAAGACCAAAGTACAGCAGGGCAGGGCAAGCAAGCAAGTGAGGAGGCACTGGGCAGGATGTGGCCCTGAGGCCCACCTTGCAGCAGCCCAAGGTTCACTGGTGAGTCTCAGCCCACCGTCCGAAAAAGACTGTTGTGAAGGTGGGGCAGGAGAAATGATATTTTTGGAGTCACTTTGTGCTACTCTTTGCAAAACATTTTGGCGACATTTCAGAAAGCATCATAAAATTAGGCAGACTGAGAGAGTATGTAGATGGCAGATTGCTTCCAAAAATGAAAAAAAAAGACAAAACAAAACACCATTTCTATTTCCTAAAAGTATTTCTGAATTGAAAAAAGATTGTGGCTAACATCATATGGCAGTGTGTGATTCTTGGCACATGAGACAGTGAGCTAAGCTTCTCACATGAGGGATACCCCTCTGTTTCCACGCCATACCCGCTTGTACAGCATTGAAATGAATTTTCAAGGTAGCGCAGTGAAAGATCTGGCACCTCTTTAGAAGCACATGATGCTGGCCTGCTCCATTCATTAATAACATGATTGCTACAAATCGTCTGAGGGCCTTGAGCAAAAGTTTCCGACAGCATCTGTGGACTGCACATTAATCTCCCGCCTGTGCTAATGCAGACAGAAAGGCAGAGCTTTTGTCACCATGTCATAAGTTCAGTAGGTTATTCAAGTGCTGGACAGACATGTTTTTTCCATGTTCTCCACTGAAACGCCTTTGCTTCTCGACAAATGGATGCTTTCTTGTGGGCGAGGGAATTTGAAGGCTGTCCTGCCCCCAATGCACATTTCTCAAAGCTACAGGTGAATGCTGAGTAGCCTTTGATTTAGGAGAGTTGCTTTGTCTACATGAGCCTTCCACAACCTGGTGCCGTCCAGATGTTTTGGAGTTTAACTCTCATCAGATCCCCTGGGGGACACCAGGTTGTGAAAGATTGGTCTACACCAGTGTTTCCCAAACTTGGGTCTCCAGCTGTTTTTGGACAACAACTCCCATCATCCCTAGCTAGCATGACCAGTGGTCAGGAATGATGGGAATTGTAGTACCAAAACAGCTGGAGACCCAAGTTTGGGGAACACTGGTCTCTACACAGAGAACTTGTTGGAATCAGTGTAAGCTCCACCAGAAGGTGTATTCACACTGTTCAATTTGCACTTCTGCTGACTTATTGGCAATCAACTGGGGATTATAAGACTCTGTTGGATGTTGATTGTATGCAGTTGGCATGTGGCTGTGGAACCTGGTTAAGGTCACGTGAGACCACTCTAAAGATCTCTCACTTTTTCCTAGTGGGAAAGCAATGTTCAGTGATGTAGGTGCTTGTTCCTCTGAAAACCTCTCTGCAAAGTGTCACAGAGCTCCAACATTATTCTCAATCCTGTTCCAACATAGATACAGGACTACTGGCTTAGACCATATGAAGATTCAGCTGTTGAAAAGATCTTGTAGTTGTTGCTATTGTGCAATTAATACTGTCCTCATTTTACTTACAGATGTCTCCCCATTCTCGCAGTTTGTAAGATCTACCACCCACTATGGCATCAGAACTCCAATAATACAAAGCTGAATCATAATTTATTTAGAATCTAAACTTCTGTTTTCTGAGGTTCTCATGGGTAGCCAACATAGTGACCTCCAGATGCTGGTGGACTACAGTTTTCATAAGCCCAGCAAAAATGGCCAATGCTCAGGGATGATAAGAGTTTTAGTCCCTCAACATCTGGGGGCCTCGTGCTGTCTACCCCTCTTGTAGATTGTTGAGACCCAACGGAAGCTGAATCCAGAAAGAATAACATAATGGGTGACAGGTTGTATGACGAACTGGTGGGATGGAATAGCATCTGGAAATAAACTTTGGTCACTGAGAATAAGGGAGCAGCAGCTTGATCAATAGCTAAGTGATCTTTTCAACAACTAAATTCTGCCTGAGCTTACAGGATAATGATAGGTAGAAAAGTAAATAAAAAGCATTGACAAAAACAGGTTTCAGATAAGATGGTTTTGGATAGTTCCTAGTTTTCTCCTTGCCTTACTAGACAGCAACACTGCATGTAGGAACATTGCTTCCTCTTACCCCAGGTGGAAACTGAAGAACAGGGTAATCAGTATGAAAACTCAGCTTCTCAGTTGTGTAAGCCACATTGTTCGCGTCCGCTTTGTCTTGAACTTGCCATGTGGGCCTTTATAATGAGCAAGAAAGAAAAAAGAGTGGTTGGAGAAAAACGTAATAATCTACCTGTAAATCTGGCTACTTAAAAAAATTGGTGGGTCATAAAATGTGAGTCATCATTTTTATGAGATGACTATTTTAGAACCACCGGGACAAGAGGGGAAAGGGTTAAAGCTTTTTCCCCTGCTAGCTATAATCTTGATAATTACCAATTCCCCAGCAGCTCCCATTTGCATTTACACATTCAATGTCATGTTTAGAAGAGACATTCCTCAGTCTCTCTTGCATAGAAGGGAATACTTTTTAACACTACACTTGTCGATATGCTGTTTCTGGAAGTACTTATAAATTTATTTTCATTAAGCGGTTAAAACTGTTTGATCAATCTAATCAATTGAGTGTCTAAACACCAAAGCTCTAAGCATTATAAGCACTCATCTGGAGTGTCTAGATGCTCTGCATTTTTCAGTGAAATTTGTTTTGATATTGCTTGGGACATCAAAGGGCTTCTTTACAAAACTTGCCTTTCAAGATAAAACAAATGCGCCAATCATAAATATTGAGCTATATACACATCTCATTTGTTCCCCTTCGAAGTTAAGAGCAGGCTGCACAACTAATGCTCCCTATTTCCCTCTGCATTTCCAAGGATTAATGAACTAACATGAACAAGAAAGAGCGCCTTTGCTGGCAACAGGGACAGATTATACAGGGTGAAATGGTTGAAATACAAGGGAACGTAGAAGACGACAACACATTGCAATGCAGCCAAAATATGAAGCAGAGGCCAAGACTGAAAACCACATTCTCTGGTTCAAATAAACTTTGGGTGATGGAATCCCGTCAATATCAAAAGCATAATACATAGATCAGACATTGTTTAGGAAGTGCCTGTCAATATACGCAACCCATGTCGTAGCTCAAGAAAATAATTTAAAAGGAATTATTTAACATATATTTGGTGTAGAGCCAATATTCAAGACATTGCCCACTGAAAACTGAGAGAGAATGTTTATTTTATATCACACCTCAAATAAATATTTATCTGTTATTATTTATCTGTTGTTATGTGTTCAAGGATTTGAGTCAGACCTAAAATCTGCAAGCAGAAATTCTAGAAAGATGTGAATGGTAGCCACAAGACTATTTAAATGTCATGGGGAATGCCATATGATTGTATGGTACATTATGTACTCAAGAGAGTGTGAGCTCAATTCTGAAATATGACAACCTCAACCACATTTCCACCCTGCTCAATTTGTATTATGTCATCTGGGCTTGATGGTACGTTTGGCCTCTTTAATTAAAAAGGCTCCAAAACAATTTACTGGTTCCCAAGAAATTTAACCCTTGTGACTTGGTTGCTTCTGAGGAAAGCTATTTAAAGAGGGTGATAGCTTTCTTTTGTTTTGTTTAATCTGCTTGCATCCCGTGTGATTAATGCACTGGAACATTACACCCATGCTGGGGGATACAAAATTAAATGCAGCCCAGTACAAACTTGGAAGATTAACAGAGGAAGCTGTAACTAAGAGGCAAGGAACCCAAAGTAAAGATGCTTGAAGAAAAGAGGAATGAAGTAGTGGAGGATACAGGAATTGAAGGAGAAGGTTGGAGGACCCAAGGAGAAAGGAAAACTCCATATTAGAGGGCTGAATAATGCTGGTTCATAGTGGGTGAAACACCAAGATGTAATTATTGGGGATATTTTCTTCCAAGGCAGTTGCTTTTTCCTATATCCTAATGCTACTTATCTTGGGTGCTGTAAGTCAGGATCACTTATTGTACTTTCACCCTCTTCTGCACAGAATGAACTGGCTCTCAAGATGACCAATGATAAAGTGCAATATATAATGTGTCCCATATGTTTAAAAAAAAATACAAACAGCAGAAAGACCCACAGATATGTTTTGTTTATTGCCCTATTTGTATCATTGTTTACTACCTTTTATATATGCTTCCAGAGTACACCATAGTTTATTTTTGTATCTGTGAGTCTGTTTTTTCTTGTCTAAAGATGATCAGCCAGATCTTCCTTGCAAGTATGATTTATTGTATAGCGACTTGTTTTGATTTTTGAAATTTAGGAACCCAAATCTTGGGTTTTGCTTAAGCATGCTATCAAACACAGGTCATCAACTGGTGCTGGCCTGAAAAAAGGTGAATTGCCACAGGAGCACTGCCACTGTGCAAAAGTTGTCCACAGGTCTGCTAGGCTATAAAGGCAACATTTCACAGTTTGGCTTCTATCTCTGTCCCTTTTCTTTGGCGCAGAGGGGCAAAGTCATCTCCAAGAACCAGCTTTTATTATCCACACAGGCCCCTGATTTCATCATGTGTCTGGGATTCAAGTTCTCTGGCCTAACAATTACTTGTATCTAAAGTGCTTGTAAAATTTAACTACAATTCCACAGATCGGGAGGGTATGTTTTAAAATAATTCTTTAATTTCCCCCTTTGACTTTTTTATTTTTAAAAAAGACAGTTCATTTGATCCACGTTGAAATTTGGCTGTGCTAAACTTTCCCTTTCTACAAATTTGCCAACCTAATTAAATATGCAATTTATAGATGAGCAACTGCACAGTGGGTGTGCCATTGTTGTTGTTGTTTAGTCGTTTAGTCATGTCTGACTCTTCGTGACCCCATGGACCAGAGCACGCCAGGCACTCCTGTCTTCCACTGCCTCCCGCAGTTTAGTCAAACTCATGCTGGTAGCTTCGAGAACACTGTCCAACCATCTTGTCCTCTGTCGTCCCCTTCTCCTTGTGCCCTCCATCTTTCCCAGCATCAGGGTCTTTTCCAGGGAGGGATGTGCCATAGAAGAGTGCATATCCATTGTCAATGTTTGTTTAGTGGGCCACTGGGACTAATTATCTGTTCTTTTTTCATACATTCTGGGAATGGCAACATCCCAAATTTTATTTGTTGTTGTCAGTGACCAGATAATTTCAGCCTAGCAAGACGAAGGTTTTGTTTTCCTTCAGTCATTCTCTTAGTACTTGGCTGAAACATTTACTTCCTCTCTCTTCATTAGCAAGCGACGGACTAATGAGAGAGAAGGCTCTCCTCCACTATTCTCAGCATCAGAGTTGGACGGCCCTATTTCCTCCATCCACACCATACTACGCTTAGCCAACCCTGCATACACCAATACAGTATTCATGTGGCCTTGTACAAAAACATTATCGGGGGAAGCAAATCATTGCTGCTTCTGGAAGGAATGTGACTCTTCTAGCCAAGCCTTAGGAGTATTTTTCTTTCTTCTGTTTATTTTAAATAGCTTCATCCATAGAAGGGAGAGACATTTGTTGTTTATCACACTGTTAACTCTCAAAAGGAGATGCTAAAAATAAAAGAGATGTTTAGCTGGAATTGTTATTATCCAAGAGGCGAAAAACATGAAAGGTATTCTTTGGCTCCCTCTCCCCGATGTTCTGGATTTTGTGTCTAAAATAGTAAAATCTTTAACTAACAGAAATGGCAAAATTACAGATGGTAACATTCAAATGTGGCATGCCTTTTCTCCCCTGCTTCCCCCCACCCCATTTACAAGTCATCAGAGAGAACCAATCATCAGAACTGTAGATATTAATGGTGGTTGTACGCTTCACAATTGTTGCTGTCTCCTCGGGAAGGGCTGCTGCTCGGCCTGTGCTGAACGGCGAGATCTCCTTGTGGTGGACAGTGAGGTCTGAGAAGTCCTGACTCGAAGAAAATGTGTGTGCAATGGTGGGGATGGCTGGCGCGGCTGCGTTTGAGCAGCAAGCCACGCCCCCTTCGAGCTTCCCTATTGGGTGGCCAACCGGGGAGGGGCGTGGTGCCAGCCCTGGAGTTGAAGCAGGGAATTGAAGCATGACGCGGCAATCGTCTCCCGCTCACAACCCCTCCCCTCCTGGGAGGAGGAAAGGCTTTGTAGAATGCTTTCCTCAGGGAGGCTGGTTTGACGCCTTTCTTACCTATCTTACAAGGGCCTGCAGATTGGCAAAAAGTAGACCATGACAACTGAATAGGCTAGGGCAGCTGCGGAGAACCTATGGCCTTTCAGATATTACTGAACTACAACTCCCATCCTCCTGGGCCATTGGCCATGGTTACTGTGGCTGATGGGAATTGCAGTTCAGCAACATTTGGAGGGCCAAATGTTCCCCGTTCCTGGCCTAGGGTCAGAAGGCCAAATGGTTGAGACTGTTAGGGATCCACTAGTCTGAATTATGAATGTCTAAATGATAACATTTTCATGCCAACCATTTTCTAGTGTGGTAGAGCTTTCAGCTTAGGACAGTGTTTCACAAACTTTTCTCTCTGGGCCATTTTCAGAATAAAAATATTCTCGCGACCACCGAATTTCTTCATAAGAAATACATTGGAAAACAAAAATAAGTAACTTCTATCAGTGCTTGATTTATATAATAGAACACAGCTATGTTAGAATATGATCATGGGACATCCCGAAAGTATAAATTCAGCTACATGAATTATCTGCAAACTATAATTATACATGTGTCTCTTACATGTGTACCTTAAGTATGTATACAAACTCAATGAGAGGTGTGAGCTTGCTTTTGCCAGGTAATATCATTTATATTAGGTCTAATTTGAGACAAAATCTCATCTCCTCACCAATAAAAAGAAGCCTTTCTCTTTTCTGATCTTTCATATTTGTCAAAATTGAAAATCCCTGTTCATAACAATACAACATGGAGAACTATAGAAGAATAGCCAATGCTATTGAAGAGAGGCATGGATACTTTCTGGTTGTATATATATAAAAAAATATTACTATACTATACCACACTGAAATGTTTTAAATGTTTCTTTGATTGTCCATGAATCTTCCTGCCAACTAATTGCACTAGTTGCTGGTTCAGTTCAGGACCAGGCCCCATTTAAAGCACTGTGCTGAACTTTAAAGCCCTAAACAGTTTGGGATCAGGTTACCTGAAGGACACATTTACCTGCACTCAACCTTCAAGGCCCTACTTGTATGTCCCTACTTGGGTAAGTGCAATCAGGTTGGTAGGCAAAAGGGACAGGACCTTTTCAGTGGTGTCCCCAGGACTGTGAGACTATATTTCAGCTAAAATTTCTAATGCCTTATCTTTGCAGGCCTTTAAATGGGCCCCTAAACTAAGGTTAACAGATGCCCCTGTTTCCCGGGGACAGTCCCCGGATTTACAAATCAGTCCCCTGACAAAATCCTATCATTCCTACTGAAGTTGAAAAGTGTCCCCGGATTCATTAAAAAAAAAAAAATCTGGTAACCACAGCCTAAACTGCCTTCTCTTAAATAAGGATTTCATTGGTTTGCTGCATAAATTTCCCTGAATTTCTGGAACTGCTATAAATTTGTATAATTTTATCATTCTAACCGGGTTGAATGTTTTGTGATTAGATGATAGAATGGGGGGAAACAGTACACAACAGAAACTAGGATGCAAAACCTTGCATTTCCATCATCTCTGTAAAGTATCTTGCTAGAATCTTGTACCACTGACTATCACTATGGAGAAAAATTAATGCAAACTCATTCTGTGCCAGTGTATTGTATACTTGAAACAACTGGCTGGAAAGCTTTTGTGCCAAATAAATTTATCTGGCTACATAACTATCACTAATGCAAAGAAAATGCTGAATTGATAGTAAAAGAATAAATTAATATCTCTCTACTCCCACCCCTGGAGTGATGTCAAGCAGCAATATGGGTCATAAATTTGACAAGAGCAAGCATATGTAAAAGCTTTAACTTACCCATAAAATGTGAGGCGAAGGAATCCAATACGTTGCCCAAGTTTAAGCAGCTCTCCCTGTCTGCTGGCAGCTCCCGTTAAGAGCACGATCCCTGTCCTTTTAAGGGTGACCAGCCACTTGTATGCACTTTCATCACTGTGCAAGACCTCTTCAAAGGCCAGAGTTGGCAGCTGAAGATCAGAACCCCAGTATTGACGTTCTGTAAAGGCCACATTAATAAAAGGGAACACATAAAGAAGTATTAATGATTATTAGATTGGTAATGAAAAGTACTAATAATAAGTACTAATTAATGAGAAGTATTAATAAGATCTACTTATTTCAGTGTTACAAACTGGAGTCTATCATTAGGACACACAAAGCTGAACAACTCCATTTAAAAGAGCACTCTTTCAACCCCTCACAGTGCTGCTGTAGCATTTTATTAGCCTTGCATGAAAACAATGCAGCCAATCTTTTTTTGTATGGCTTCCGAAGGGCATCTGCATCTGCCAAAGGGGAAAACGTCCCTCATTATTAATGTATAGGGGGATACTAAGTTCAAAAAGTAACCCCTGGGACATTTCCCAGGAAAGGACTTTGCTCTTTTACAGTGTGTGCAGAATGCTGCCTATTGTATAAACAGACACAAGCTTTAAAAGCAATTCTAAGAAGCCATTTGCCTCTTGCGTTATGAACCCACCCAACTAAAACCTATCCAGTCTAGCTGAAGATATTTTTCTTTGTGTGCGCAGCACTCCAAATCTGTCTTGTCTCAGATGTTTGCAAGTTGAAGGTTTTCAAGCACTAAGTTAAGAAGCAAGATGCTCCAGGTTCAGCCACTGTTACTGGAGCACGGGGAATGCAGGAGCTCAAAGAGTGGGTGTGGGGGGTACTGCTGTCTTCATGCTCTGCCTTATATGCACCCCAAAGCATATGGATTGTCATTGTTGCAGACAGGATGCTGGATTAAAAATGGACCCTTCACCTGATCAGGCAATGCTCTTTCTATGCTCCCATGGAGCAAAACCCAGGCACTTTCCCAGGGTTATTATTATTGTCTACTTTACTTTCAGCGATGCATGTGATGATCCAATATTTTCCTTGGAATTCTTGGTTTACCATCAGATGGTTTAATTGCTTCCTGATCATGAATGGAAGAAAAGAGCCTTTACTGCAACTATCTATACAGCAGTAGCATAATGCAAGCAAAGATACACAGACCCAACAGAAGCAAACAAGCTAATTATGAGCACACTGTGTGTGGGTGTGCCAGCACATAAGTACATACAGACCCCCCAAATGACTTGACTTCATTGGAAATTTTTCTCTGTAATAAATTCAGGCAGCCAAGGAAACTTGCTAAACATCCTTTGCCAATTACTTGATTGCTAAGCAGTTAGATTATGACAGGGGAAACATATTTCCTACTGGTCTTCAGGAGAAATGAAGGACAAATTAAGACATGGCAGGGCAGTTATAGTTGCCTTAGTCACGCACTGGGTGAAGATTAAGCCATTCTCCATTTACAGCAAAATCAAAGCACATGGACTCCCCCCACTCCCGTTGTGCTGTCTCCTCATGGTTTGTCAAGCCCAAACACCTCTTCTCTTAACCTGACTCTGATACCAGAACTGATCTTGATTGGGAGGAAAAGGCTCGCATGGCAGACTGGAGGGGAAGTATGGGGTGGGCGATTCACTCCCCTGACTTGCACTCCCACCTCCTTCTTTATACATGAATAGAGAAGGCAATCAATAATAATAATAATAATAATAATAATAATAATAATAATAATAATAATTTTATACTCCTCCCATCTGTCTGGGTTTCCCCAGCCACTTTGGGCTGCTTCCAACAAAAGATTAAAAATAAATTAAAACATCAGTCAGGACGATGGGGGTGGAGACGCTCCTTCAGGTATACTGGGCTAAGGTTGTTTAGGGCTTTAAAGGTCAGCACGTACTGGGAGCCAATGTAGGTCTTTCAAGACCATTTAATTTAACTATTATGGCTGTCCCCAGGGGAAATGCTGATTGGCCCAGGATGCCCCACTCACATGGAAAAGCTCTGTGAGCATACATCAGAATGCATATAGACCTCTCTTTTGCAATTACTGAATATGTATCAGACGGGGAGTGTGGCACATAACCAGGCTCATGAACACTTGCCCTGTCATATCATGCAAAATAATAAGTATGAAAATGGTGTCTTCTGCTTCTTGTAAAAGTAAAAAAAAAATTATTGAGTTAAACTAGTTGAAGCAGATGAAAGACTAAGGAAAAGGAAATTAATTAAAACGACCCCACTATTCATGGAAATTTCCCAAAGGATCATCTCAGAGCCGGTCACTGAAAAGATGATCCACAATGAAAAAAATGTGTTTCAAGGATGTAGGAAACTACCCTGGATTATTAAAAAAGAAAAGAAAAAACCCTTAAATGACAATGGCTGTTACTTTTGAAATAGCTATTCCAAGCTGCCATGTGGAAAAGCTAAAGGAAGGCTCCAAGAACCATCTGCTAAAAAATGGCTAAAAAGTAGAACCTTTCTAATCACAAAATTAATAATTATCCCCTGGTAAAAAGCAGAGTTTGCACTGCACATACGAACACCTTGTGGAATATTATCTGCTTGTTATCATCACTCTCCTCTTGCCAAGCCAAATAAGATTAAATAATTAAGGATATTCTGTGAGTTCATTCAACTAAACAACAAGGAAAGACATCATTTAACATTCCAACTGCTACTGAGAAGTTACAGTTTCTGAGGACTCAGAGTGGTGGTTTGTAACCTACTGTGAATGGCTCCTCCCACTCCCTACTCCAGCTCCTACCCCTTGCTCTGGGGCAGGTAAGGCCTGACCAGCATAATCAATCACAAGATGTGGTCACATATACCATTTGAATGGCAATACCCATCAACTGGGGTAGGAGGGCTCAAATATTTTATGGGGGGGGGACAAAGGGACCTTGGCCTCTAGGAGTTGGCTTCTACATTCTTGGGGCAAGGGACCTTCTCTCAGCCCTATGCCTGCCCTGGGATCTTCCCCAAACTCAGACCCAACAGCCCTCAATGCACTCAAACCACCTCCTTGGAACCTCAATCCAGTTCTCTGCCCTGCTTGCATGTTCAGAAGACAACCTACAGACAAGTGGAAAATCCACAGCTGAACTACGTGACAGGACCTTTTCTGCAGAACATTCCTAAATCTACAAATGCTGTGGCAGACGAAAATGGTCTCCAGTTCAATTATTAAACGTAGCTATTAAATTCAAGTTCTGTTTAGGAAAACAGACCAGCAGCAATAACTCTGCAGGCGTTGTTCGAGCCCACCATAAACTTAAAAGTGGTGGGTACTCAAGATTTTAAAGTTAACTTGGTTATTTATTTCACATGCTGTTTCTTGTGGCAGGTACGCATCTCAGCATAGTCAGCAAAAGCTGCCCCGAGCCGACGACTGCAAGTAGTAAGAACAATTTTCTCCATTTGCAAGGTTTGCACTTTCCAACCACAGCTAGCATGTCTGATTCCTCTGGCTTAAGCCTGTTAGAGGGAGAGTCCAAGAAACACAACACACACATCCTAATGTAAACCATCCACACAAACCATCTTTCTATCTGACTTTGTGTTTCTAAGAAGCTGCGGCATGACTGACAAGTTGCTGATTCCCCCCCCCCCAAAAATATTCCTAAAATGAAGAAAACACAGTGTGGTCCTTGAGGAGAAATGCAATCACACCTTATTAAATTCCTTAGCAAATCTGCTCCAACACACATTTTGCTTAGCGCTGGACTCAATAAACCGTGGTTGCTTCATTATAAACAAAGAATGGCTCTTCATGAGGGGAACGGAAGGTTGCTTCCCAGATTAAGCCACTCTGACAGTAATAATTAAATTACAAAGCAAATCCAATAAAAGATAAATGTGTTTGCCTGGTGCATAAGTCCTGTGAAAATTGATGGGTTCCACTGTACGCTTTATTTTCTAGTTTTTCTTGTCTTATTTTTTTGATTTGGCTCCTGAGGTCCCAGCAGCAGAACCCCATTCAATGGGATGCTTCCGCTGGTGGGAAGGGAAATTATTTTCATAGATTCCACCTTCTCCCTGCAGTTGCTTGAAGACTTACTCCAGAGCACTTGAGGACCCTCCAGAAGAGTGTGTGTGGCTACAGGGAAAAGAGGAATGAGTGAAAATCACCTCCTTTCTCCTTCCATGAGATGGAGCCTTAGCTGGATCAAAGTCTCTTCCACAAAGCCATTGTAACAAGGAGAGTTGGTTAGGCTTAGATCTGTAGTCCTCTCCACTACTGAAAAGGGGCCAGCCCAAGACATTTTGTGGCCTGAGGTGAAGGACAAGATGGCATCTTCTTCTAATCCATGTATAGAAGCTGACAACTGGTAGCTGAATATTACTTTAACACCGCCGACAGGTTAGCTTCCATTCTCTGCACCCGAAGGTAGCACGCTAGTTTAGAGATGGCCTGGCTATATGGCACAAACAGCTCTCTTTCAACATCTCACCTTACTACTATTACCACTACCACTCTTGGGTAAAGTTGTATTCATTTTCTTGGCCATTCTTTGTTTGCAAGTGCTCTACAAAATGAAAAATTACTACCTGGAAATGAAGGAAGAAGTGGTTACATCATTATGTCCATACTGTGACATTTCTAACACTCATGTATTATTGCTTAGAATGTATCTATAAAAAGGGGCATAGTTTTCTTGACTGGTGACTGAAAGGCTTCCACACTGAGCACTGACTGTGATATACCAGGCTTTGTTCACTCATTTTTAACAGGGAATCCGCATGTGTTTCTTCTCCATTTTTCCAGACTTCAGAAAATCCAACTTCATTTTTTAACTCTATGATCCCAAGTGTTGATGACCCTTTTCACTGTCATTCTGGCCTGTATTGATTCCTCTAGCCATTTTCTTCTTGGTTAACTGTTTTTCCTCTTGAGGAACCTTTAATCATTCCTTTTCCAAATAGCATTATTTTTGTATCCGCTTCATTTTTTTCTGCCCCACTCCCAATGGCAGTGCCGGCATAACCATCACAGAAAGTGCATTGAAAGAAGATTGCAGAACAAAATTATATCATCCCCTCCAAAAAAGCAACAACAGTTGGGGCTGGAGAAAGGGGACTGTCTATTTGGCTGCAAAGTGTTAGAAGTCAGGAAACAGACTTACTATTCTACTTCCAGATTAAAGCAGAACAGTGATGACTGGAGGCTGCTAAATGGGTGCACATCTTGAACAAACATCAACAACAATAAATATCATAACAATTGAATCTGCAGCTATTTTCCAATAGCAGAGAAGACTAAAAAATGCAGCTCACATAAACATCCATTATAGCTAGCCTAAAGAACTGTCTCAACAGCATGCCTCAATGGGCCAAGCACTTCAAAATCTTGCAAATGACAAATGTTAACCAATTCCATAGACTCAGGCTGAATGCAACAGAAAGTCATGATAGCACCTGAGTGGCTGATAGGGTTCATAGGAACGTAAGAATTCTGCAGATATTCTTCTAGAGAATGGAAAGTCACCATCCAGCATGGATGGAGTTAAAGATGATTATCCTTCAGATTTACAAACACTTTTATTGAAAATACCTCAGCAAATACCAGGTCAAAGCAGTATGTACAACATGCCTTTGTCTAAAATGTTGAAATAACTGGCTGTCCAAAAGAATAGCTTTGTCCCACAGAACACTATATGAGATGTAACAATATAATGCTTTCTAAATTGCTTAAACGCTTAAACATTTGTGCCTAGCTATGCACCATTCTGCCATAGGGCTTTTCTAAATGACAGACTGGATTTGACTTTACCTTTGAAACTGTTGCCAAATTATTAATGTTTAAAAAGTTTCTTATCTGCAATTCAGATAATTATATACAGAAATGAAAGAATTTACAAAAAACAAAGTCCTTATGTATGTATATGCATAGTTAATAAATACATTTGAAAGGTAATAAATAAATATATAACTTTACACTCAATGTAAACTAACAGATAAACATATCATTATATGCACATTATGATGTACCCTCAATAAAGTGTATGGCTTTAATGAATCTTGTGTTATACGGTTTCAATATTGAATAAATAAGCTTCATTTTTCAATAAACTTTTTGGCTTTTTGTCTTCCTTCTCTTATCCAGTTTCACCATATAAAGCATATCTCATACTTTAATCAGCCACAAGTCAATAGATTGTGAAGCAGAGTATTTAAACAGATGCCAAATTAAAAGGGCATTCCATCATCTGTCACCAAGAAAGATTTCTGGAATATAGTTTGCATTTGCAAAGAAACACGCAATTATGTTAGCTTTGTTCTGCAGATTTGCATAACAAGTGGAAAATAGTGTCACATAAATATGCAGTCACCACTTATTATTGTTCCGATAATTTTTGTTGCTGTTAACTTATGAACCATCTAATGACTGGCATTGTATACCACCCAACGGCTGCGTCAACTCAGTTTATACTTTGCTTTTTAATTTTCCCACAAAGGTTGCTATTCTAATCCTGATTATTACCCTCTCTCTCTCATACTCAAACAGACCTGTCTATCCATCAGCCTGTGGAATTTGATCTCAACAAATTTTCCTTCCTTCAATGAAGAGAGTACATTATTCCATAAAAAAAAAAAATCAAGAGTAGCTGCAGCTTGAAAATCTATTAAGCAGCAGCTCTAAACAGGGATTGTGTTCCATGCCAGCGTTCCCTGCTGGTAAACCACCCCATTCACATTATTCATTATTCTACCATTTCATCATGGTACATATATTGTTTCCACTACTTAACCACAATCAGTAGAATTTCCACTTTGCTACTGTAGCACAGGGTTGAAGGTTACAACTTGTGGCAATGGAGTTGCTCAGAAATGCTAAAAAGACAGCCCATGAACGCTCTGACAAGCTTACTTCTCACATCCAAAGCAGCCTTCAAATTGTTGCAGTGGGGAAAAACCTGTTTATTTTTCATACAATTTGCAGGAAACTTTAATAGCTTAGATTTCAGAAGGAAGTCCAATAGTGCTCATTCATGCCTTCAAAATTTTTTTTTTACCATTGCTGATGAAAAACAGATCTATGTGCTATGAAGAAAAGGAACACACACTTTCCAGGAGACTGCATGGACCATAGGCTTATCAATGAGCTATAACCGCTTTTCACATTTCTCAAGAATGTGTCATTCATTAGATGGACTGATAATATCAAAGTTTTCCCCTCCAGACACTATCAGCTTGATATTGATTGAAGTAGACATGCAAAGACTAGCATATTAAGCAGAAAAACTCTTTTACCCAGTTTTTACTCCCAGTTATTGGGAGTTTTTCATATGAAGACATTTGATTCTCCCACTCTATTATCTTTTTAGATGCCTTTACATTGTCCGAGTATCATATGTATGCAGTGCAGACGGTATAGACACAATATACTGTAACTTTCTTTCTATGTTTATGTAAGCAGACAAAATTCAGTGTTGTAAGACTGGAGAGACATCACCAGTCATCATAAAAAGTAGAGACATCACCTTACCAACAAAGGTCCGTATAGTTAAAGCCATGGTTTTCCCAGTAGTGATGTATGGAAGTGAGAGCTGGACCATAAAGAAGGCTGATCGCCGAAGAATTGATGCTTTTGAATTATGGTGCTGGAGGAGACTCTTGAGAGTCCCATGGACTGCAAGAAGATCAAACGCATCCATTCTTAAGGAAATCAGACCTGAGTGCTCACTGGAAGGACAGATCGTGAAGTTGAGGCTCCAATTCTTTGGCCACCTCATGAGAAGAGAAGACTCCCTGGAAAAGACCCTGATGTTGGGAAAGATGGCGGGCACAAGGAGAAGGGGACGACAGAGGATGAGATGGTTGGATAGTGTTCTCGAAGCTACAAACATGAGCCTTTCCAAACTGCGGGAGGCGGTGGAAGACAGGAGTGCCTGGCGTGCTCTGGTCCATGGGGTCACAAAGAGTTGGACACGACTAAACGACTAAACAACAACAAGAAGAAGAAGACTGGAGAGGAAGGGCCCCACGACTCCCAAGAGACAAGAAGTGTTTGGTTCTCTCCATCTTACAAAAATAATAATAATAATCTCCCTTGAACTACATAATTCAAGCTTCCATCTGTGTATAAAATCAGAGCAAAATTCCAAAAAGCTGATCCCTTTCAGCAACGATTTCCTTTCCTGGAACTCATTTCAAGAACATTGTGCTAATGCACAGGTTAACAGAGGCAGTTTATATTATTCAATTAAAACATTTATGAACAGTTTTCTTCATCTCTCTCAGGAGAAATCCAGATTTCTGAATTGTGAACAGCTCTGCCTGGGGGAATAAAATAGCTCCTGTGTTATGTATTTTCTCTGAGTCCTCCCCACCCCCATCTTTTGAGGATTGAGCAAAACAAGAATGCAGAACTGCCTCCAAATAACAGCATGGGATCTGTTTACTAATTGGAGCATAATTCTGCGTAATGTGTGTGCACGCTGCCCAGAGCAGCAGCCTTGCACTTTTCTGAGAAATTTGCTTATTTCCAGTACTAACACTATTTTATGTAGTCTGCCTAGAGGTTTTCGTTGATTAAGTGATATATAAATCCTGTCACATTCATATAATGATGACATCCTAGCCAACTCTCTGTGTATAATAAAGTGCACAATGCAGTCCCTTGGTTAAATACTAGATCAAAAAGATAGGAGGAATGATCAAGTTAGATAAAATATGGGAAGCCCTTTATCACTGATATATAAAATCCTGTTGTTATTAAAAATGGATTCCAGATCGATTGAGAATGGGGTTCCCTTAGTGCATTTACTACAGAAATGGTACGAATCTCTACCTGATAGAAATAATTCTTCCCGCATTTTTGCTCTTGCTTGTTCAGAAAAACATCTCTTCTTCAACCATTCAGCCTCAAATTCACTGGTGTGGTCATCTGGCCATACAATGCATACCTTAGTCCACAAAACAGAAATAGAGACATACATTGAAAGCAGACCGGAATAATCCAACAAGCAATTTATTTGCTTTGCTGTTTTTTCTTCTTTGTTTTGTTGGATTTGGCTTTTTCCACATAATGGAAGCAACTGGCATGTGGTCTTGTTACATGTGTGCAATCCTACACATGTATAATTGGAAGGCAGTTCCAGTAATATAGCAGGCCTTTCTCTCTACTAAGTGTGCTTAGGATTGCGGCCTAATAACCTCTTTCACTCTGAAGAGTTTGTATAGTGTAATGCTATGCATGCTTATTCAAAACTAAGTCCCACTGTGTTCAGTGTGGCTTATTCCCAGGTAAGCAGCATTATATCACTGCAACAAAATGGTTCTACACATGGAGATTAATATATTATATGAAAACTCTCTCTCTCTCTCTCTCTCTCTCTCTCTCTCTCTCTCACACACACACACACACACATTACCTTTTTCTCCCTCTGTGCCAAAGTGACATTCTTGGCCCCAACATTGACATCCAGATTTTCAAGAAGCAGTTTGCGTGCTTTAGCAGAGTGCAGGAAGCACTCGGGGCACTGGCAATTGTCTCGCAGCCACACAGAAGGGTAAAGGCTCTTGCTCCCATCTTCCCAGTGGACACAGATAAACTGATTTGCCTCCAGAGCTTCCACTTTATGGATGGCTGCACTCGTGTTGAAGGCCTGAGCCGTCTGCATTGAATGCTGCCAAGGCCTCCTGCTCAGGGAGAAATGTTTTTGATGGCTGTGCTTGCCGTTTTGTGCTTGCAGCAGAGTTCGAGAACAGTCTTGGTGGACTTTGGTTCTTAACAAGTATTTAGCGATTGAAGTCCACATCTTTCCTTTTCCTTGTTTGATCTTCAGAACAGAAAGGCCTTTTCACCCTGTGAAATCTCTCTCCAGGTCAGTGCTGTAAGAATAAAGCATACTGATGAAAGGCAAGAAGGAAGAAAAGGGATTCTGTTCAAAAGAATGTTACTTCTGGTCCCTGTCATCCTTTCATTCTGGCACATAATGTCTCCATTTCCTCCAACCCCCTTGAAGTTCTGATCAAGTGTTTTTTTTTGGGGGGGGGGAAGAAAGAAAAAAGTTTTAGCTTTGTATTGTATGCCTCAAAATTTGGACCCCAGTACAAGAAGTGTGACAGAACCATGGTTTTGGAGAGCAACAGATGGTGCAATACCAAACAATTTTAAATGAAATATTATTGGCTGTTCCAAAAGAAATAACTTGCACCCACTGGTTCCTCTCCATGCCCATAATATTGGATCAGCTGACACATCTGGCAAGTGTGGGTCCCTCAATGATCTGTTCAACCACTTTTCTCTCACAGATCTACAGATACTGCATTTGAACCTTAGAAAACGAGGCTCTGTTTACAGTGGGTGAGATTCAACTAATGAGTCGTGTCAGCCAAAGCCCTATTCTAGGACTTCTGCTTGCAAAATGGGCTTTCCCCCCTCTCTTCCTCCTGTGCCCCTGAAATTGTCTTAGGGCATGGGGTGGAGAGAACTCATGGGGAGTAACACACATGGGTAAGAGAAGGGAGATAATCTGAAATGTTTGCTCTGATCGATCAATATAGGCTTAGTACAACAATGAATTCCTCCTATTGCTGCTCAGAGGAATTCTTAACCAGCAACACATTTGTCTATAGGTGCTCTCACTCCTAACACCATTAGGCAAGTTAAATTCACCCACTTGCAAAGCCACAATTAATAGTGCTTCTGTGAGCTTACAGAAACACAGACAGATTCATTTTTGAGATGCGAAAGCGATCCAATCTCATGAAGCATCATCCAAGTGCTTGTGGCCAGGGTCACGGTGAACATGCCATCTCAGACATCCCTTATGACAGCCTCTGCTGACCTGCTGCCCTCCATCTGCAGAAGGCTACAACTCCCAGCAGCTCCAGCCAGCACAGCTGGAGTCTACAACAGCTGGAGGGGAACCAGGTTGGCGCAGACTGCCTTATGAAATGGTTTAAAAGCACGGATTCGCTCAAGAAGTGGTCACAATCGACTTTATATATTCATTTATTTCATTTCATTTATGAATCACTTCCCATGAAACATCCCAAAGTGATTAGCAACAAAAACGTCAACAATAAAACACACACATCAAAACAATTCCAATTCCAATTCAGATGCAGACTGGGATAAGAAAGTCCACTTATGTTTTTCCTTGCAACACCACAACATAACCACATACTATATTATTATAGTATATTACAATTATACTACTATTATTATAGTCAATATATTAAGCATCCAGAAAACAATCCCCTTGTACACATGTCCTTCCATACGGATGAACAGGTAGTCAAAACATGCGCACATAGACACTCTTCCTTTCCCCCCCTTTCATATGCACATAGACAAGGACCATGCAGATGCAGACATGCACAAAGGATGCGCTCATCCCCAAGCTGGCAACTGCAGCAGCTGCTGCCTACTTCAGGCACCTGTGGCTGACAGTCAGTAGGTTGGAGCAAGGGAAGGAGCTGACCATCTGGGCACCTCCTTGCTTTTTTCAATAGAGTAGCCCAGGCTAGGAGACAACAAACACACATGGCATGCAGCAGCACGGAGCTACACACATCACTGCTGCTTCAGAGACTCCCCTGACAAAAACAATAGCAATACCTATATTGAGGGGGGAAATGAATGGAAAACAGGGCAAGGAAACCAACTTTCACTCCTCTCACCCTACAACTGGGGGATTGCAGTGGCAGCAGCAAAAGCCTCAAAACCAGTCAGGCCCATAGTTTTCCAGATGGCTGGCAACTCTCTCCTGCTGCTGGTTTCTCAATTAATAACAGATGGGGGAACACACATTTATAATGCTAGTCTGTCTAAGGTTCAAAGGAAGAACCATTTTTTCCTGGAAAAATCACAAGGTTGAACTTTCCAGTATCCCCTTACCCCAGTTAGCTGGGGTGACCAGGAGCTGCCAAAACTAAAGGATGGGGCGGGGGAGAGAGAAAAGCTTAAGAATGATGAGATCTGAAAACATAATAAATGTAAATTCCTATTGGCCTCATGGTTATGCAGCCTGTCGGAGCCAATAACTTTAATTTTTCATGCTTATCACTGCAAGCCGCAAAAGAGAACTGCTGACTGCATGTAAGTGGCATGTTGTTTACCCGCATCGTTCCATAACAGGGAAAGTATGCGCTAATATCTGCGCTCTCCCTGGGATGAAGCATTGCACCTGGTTGATTCTTTTTGCTGTTGTTCCCATCTGAAACCCTAAGCCAGCTCAGTCCAGTCATCTTCAACTTTTTGTGGGCTGAGCAAGATAGAACATGGCAGCTTCCTAGGTTCCTAATGGAGAAAAGACCTTTTCACAATACCAAAACAACAACCATCTTGTGGTATGTAGGGGCCATTTTGTGTGTGCACAAGGGGTTCACTGGTTCAGGGCCATTGTCTAAGATCCTCAGCTATCTTTTCACAGCAGCATAGTGCCATGCATGTCCTTAGGTCCTGGGCAATACCCCCAAACCCACCTTTTCACTCAGCCTTGCCAAACCAATTCTCTGTTCTATCTCTGTCTCTTTTCTCCAGGCCTTTGCTTTCTCTGCTCCCCTTGTGTTTCCCAATATACTGCTTCCTTCTCCTGCAATGACTACTCAACATAACTGCCTATTTCCCCTTCCTTCTTTTAGCCTCTTGGGATCCCTGTATGCTGCTTCTCTAACCTCCCAGGCCTTCTCTACTTTCACGTTTCGCACCTCTGTGCTTCAGTTTGTAGTGACCGAAGAATCCCAACTTCTACTGCAGGGGTGAGGAAACTTTTTCAGCTCGAATGTCACATTCCCTTCTTGGTGGACACATGCCAAAGCTGGGTGGGGCCAGAGGCTAAAGGAGGTGGAGCAATGAACGCAAATTTAATCTTTGTACAGTAGGCTAGTTTCCATACACCTACATGCCACTTTCTAGCCTCCATCCAGGGAAGCAAGAGGCATTATCAGAATTCTAGGACACACATCAGCCATACAAAAAAAAACCACACTCAAGAAGAGTGCAAAGCAAGGACAATGAAGGGTGTGGCATGGGAAGAGGGGGTGTGGTTGAAGAGACGAAGCCGGGAGAAGAGTCCCAAGGGCCTGATAGCGAGGCTTGAAGGGCCGCGTTTCCAAGCAAAAGTCTTTAAAATGCTTTGTTTCCAGACCTTTGCAGTAGACTTGGACCTAGGAGTATACCACGTTTCAGCTTTTTATTTGTGGCAGAAATACCAAGGCAGGAGCATCCTTGTACATGTAACTAGTCCAAAAAATATTGACATTTTTGCAGCTGTGAAAAGGAATAAAATCCAGCTCTCTGGACCACATTTCTATTGTGTCTTCCACTGAAACTGGGCGGAGTGAACATCAAAGGAAAACCATTGATTTCTTCCAGCTGAAGAATGGCTCATCACACAGCAAGAAGATAATTTGTGACTGAATTTTATATTACATGTTTACTAGGCTATAAATTCTTAAAATATTCGCTGATGCTTAGATAGTTACATTTGAAGCAGACCGCAAGTACATATTTTCATACTTTACCATAATCCTGCTTCAAATCGTTGCACAAAAATTTAAATCCTTTTAAGTGGGGCAAGCAATTAATGCTCCACCCACCTTCCTTGTCTATTTGACACAAAACAAATGCTCAGAACAAAATTAATCTACACCAGACACAAGAACTAGCTTCAACTAATGGCAGTTTTAAATAAACCAACACATTTAATTCTCTTTATTTCCAATCCTGGTGCTGTAGCTTACTTCCAAGAAATAAGGACAGCTGCTTGCAGGTATGCAAAGGATGATCTTTGCAGATGAGGGATGGCTGGAGTACTACCACAAAGTTTCATTAGCAGCTCTTATTCAGGTAGCTTTGGGGGGGCATGCCAATTTTGGAGGGGTTGCTGTTGTTTTAATCCCTTTATCCACGGTCCAAATCCTGATCAGCTACTCACTAAAAAACAACAGTGCATTTAGCCTCAGGGTCCATAAAGAGAGAAGGAGAAGTGATGTGGAGTTGGGAATTTTTCCTGCAGAAAAAATTCCATTTCTTAAATTCATTAGTAGCAATAAATGGGTGTCAATTGCAAATGAATGGGGCTGTCAATATCTTAGTCAAGCTTGGCAGTTCTAAACTGCTTGTTTCAATTACTTAAAATACAGTTGTACCTTGGATCCTGAACGCCTTGGTAATCGGATATTTTGGCTCCCAAACGCCATAAACCTGGAAGTGAGTGTTCTGGTTTGTGAACATTCTTTGGAACCCAAATGTCCGATGGGGCTTCTGTGGCTTCTGATTGGCTGCAGGAGCTTCCTGCAGCCAATCTTAAGCCGTGCTTTGGTTTCTAATCGTTTTGGAAGTTGAACAGACTTCCGGAATGGATTCCGTTTGACTTCCAAGGTACAACTGTACTGTTATGGGTTTGCAAGGGGGCAAGGATCCCCTCAAATTCCTGGGTGCCAGGTTCTCCCCATAATTTCTGCAATTAGTAAATGTGGGGTTTGATCAATGGATTTAGCAAGGCCTTAAAAAGTTAGTCAAACCAGCTTCCTCAGGAGCTGGGTTTAGAGATGTGCCATTCAAGAACAAAGACAGGTAACAACAGAGTCATTACCTGGACAAAAGGTGAGAGATTCAGCATCAGGCTGCCTGGATTACAGGGGGTGAGATGTCACCACAGGAAAAAGTACCTTTTGAAGGAGACTTTTGAAACAGAGGTTGCCAGGACAACGGGGAAAGGATGCTTGAAGCTGAAGAGAAGGAATTGTTTTCTGCAAAGGCTGCTGTGAAGGAGGAAGCAGGCAAAACATGCATGCTGGCTGGGAGAGGCTGCACCAAGAGACCAGAAGAAGAGGAAGAAGAGTTTGGATTTGATATCCCGCCTTTCACTCCCTTCAAGGAGTCTCAAAGCGGCTAACATTCTCCTTTCCCTTCCTCCCCCACAACCAGGGGCTATGTATGGCTGGCTGATGCTTTGGAACCAAGCTTACTGAAGCTATGAGAGGAGCAATGAGAGACACTCTTGGGGTGTGATATTCTGCAACCCCCATACCAACATTCAGGTGTAAATATATATATATAAACCATATTTTTTAAAGACACTACTCTCTGCTGTGCCTTGATTTCCCAATGGATACACAACTCTGGTTAAGAGCCACGACCCCTGAAATCTTGCTACCACTTAGCAGAGATTGGGGTGGCCTACAATGATCCATATAAAACAGACACGCTCACCGAGGTCACTCTAGAACAGGAATATCTAACCTGAAGCCTGTGCCAAACATATGGCCCCCAGTGTTTTCAGTCTCCCTCCCAAATCTGTCATTTAAAAAAGAAGTTTTAAAAAGGATTTTTTTGTTTGTTTACTGTTCCAATGGGTCACCCACTGTGACACCCCTATGCCAAAAGGATCTTTGGGGGCTCCCAATTCCTTTTTAAAAGTTTTATTGATTGCTCCTGTATGTGCCCCACTGTGACAATGCGATGTCAAAAGTTTAGGAAGAAACTTGAAAAGTAGTCCTACAACTCTGCCTTTTAATACATATTTTAGCAATACCAGTGAGATTGGATTGCACATATAAACACCCAAATCACCACACCATTCAACTTCCAACAGGATTATTTTGATCCCTTATGAATGATTATACAAGGTATTTTTAATACCTCTTTTGAATGATTAAAGGCTGAAAAGATAAACTTTGCAAGCTTACAGAAAAGAATGGTTGTAGCCTGAGCAATGCATCCAAGCAGTAAAGATGTTTTGCATTTTTGTTCACTGAAACACGCTCATGTAAGCATTCAGTTGATGGTATCGAAAGACAGCAGAACCAGCAGGGTCACACTCCCCTTACCTAGTTCTGGACTCTAGTTCCACCCACCAAAGCAACCAAGCCTATTTCAGTCCTAAAACCAGGCATAGCAAAATGTGCCTTAAACACAAAGAGCAGGCTTCACCTAACTAGTCCTACTAGTGGAAGCCCGCACAAGGGCATGCACTAGTGCAACAGGGTTTTCTTCCCCTTTCCTTCCCCTGCACCCCCCACAATTGGCACAGTGTGGGGGTGGGAGAACCCCCAGCACAGCATGGGGGTGGGGTTCTGCCTGGCAAGCTGATGGAACAACTGCCATAGCACTACATTACATTCATCCCAAAGTAAAATTAGAAGAAGAGGACGGGGCGGGGGGCAGGGGCAGGGGGAGAAAGCAAGGATGCCAAGATCTGACCATTAAAGGAAGTGGGAGTTCAAAATATATGAGGTGAGATTTAAAATGTCTAGCTGAAATATGCGTTAACTATTCCTTCTTTACAAGGCAATATTTGGCACACTTGCGCTATTACAGTATTTCATACTTTTACTAGATTAAAACCATACTGACCTGGAAGACCACCTATGCCTGGGATATGTAGAAGCAACCCCGTCAAATATTCTTTTATATAAGAGATCAGAGAAGGGTCAGTTTTGTTAAAAGGATGGGTAACTTTATTACCAGTAACTCTGTAGTTAAATACAAATAAACCGAATTATTGCATTCTAGGGGATTAGCCAATTGCTGATGAGGTCAGGAAAAAGAAAAATCTCCGTATTACAAAGCCAGTTACAATTCTCTTTCATTAAAAGTTTTTGGAAGAGAAACTTAGGCTATGTACACATTACCATTTAATTCGGATCAAGTGTGCTACCACCCCCGGTGTTTGAAGCTGAGTAAATGTAACATTATAGCCACAATCCATATGTATCCTGTAGTGTCTTGTTGCAAGGATATGGAAACAAATTAGGTAATGTGCATTGGGTGAAAATGTGCTAAATACCCTGTGATCCTAGTAATATCCTGTATGGATATAATGCAAGCTCCAGCCCACTTATTTTGGAACACTAACATAGACATTGGCAGAATTCCTGTTGAGTGAAAGGGTTGTGCATCACAACCTCACTTTGTAAAGAACTCACCTTAAGCAACCTCTCGTCCTAAGAAGACACCAAACCCAGGGTCTACGAGAAATCCCTTCACATTAAAACATAACCGGCAGTAAACACATTCCATGCATTTTATTCTGATAACCATGTTTACCAAGGAATAGATGAATTCATGGTGGCTGGAAAGTTTTTAAGACCTGACACAGACAGCTTGTTCCCAGTCCTGCCATATTTCTACCCAATTCAGTGCTAAGGAACAGCTCTGTAAGATGCTAATGCTGTTTCAGGCACAGGAGGAAATTCTGAACTGCCACAAAAATCCAGTGTTGGGCTAGCGGTAGTGATGCCCCATCAACCGTCCTCAAAGAAGCATTTCAGAATCCTAAATTTAATTTATAAGTTGAGAGGTGCAGAGGGCTTGCTCAAATTTGATTAGAAGTCACACCTCATTACCTGGAAGCCTTGATCTCTGCTTCTCAGTAACTGAAATGATGAGATTCCTGAGGGGTGAAGAAAAGCTACTTGAAGATGTTCATTTATAGTGCAATCTTAAGTACAGGAAGCTGGCGGGACAGACACCATTTCTTAAGTCAGCATCCCTGCAGTGAAATAATTTTGATCTACACATTTCTCAAAAACCTTTCACAGATCAGTTACATGACCTGGCAAACCAGGTGAAATGTACACTGCCAAAAGGTTTTGTAAGTCTCTCCTTGTCCTGTCCACAACTCTGAAACACTAGTATTGGGGAACTTACACTGGCATGTGCTCTGGTGGCTTAAGTTCTGCTGGCTGAGACCCAGCTCAGCCAGACTGAGGGAGATACACAGTTGTATCCCTGGCAGAGTTGGGATGGGTGAGTTATGCTGGCGTAGCTGAGCCAGGACAGCTGAAGATCCACCTTTTCCAAACTTGCTCATCCTGACAGGTCTTGGGTTTGGATTGCACTGTTATTTATAATTGCATTGCATGTTCCAGGTTGGATCCATGACAATGATTCAAAACAAACACACATGAAAACAAGGCCCCACCATTTCTCACAGCTATCATACCATATGGCTCTCTCCCACAAGGGTCATTTGGCTACCTGCATCATTGTGCAAAATGGAGAGGCGTTTACCATACACCACATACGTGCAGCATAAGCCTGAATATGGGACTCATTGTTTTAGTCTGAAAATGACTCACTTGCTTCCTATCATCTTGCTTACTGAATGCAAATATGTTCACATAGTGTGGTTCCTTATGCACCTGCACACAAGTAGCATCAAGTCTGGGACAGCCCAAAAGTTTGCGTAAGTGCAAAAAAGGGAGGGGCACTGAGGAACCTAAGTGTGGAAGGGGGGACACCCAAAAGCAGAACAGAGAGTACTGAAAAAGTTTTGTATGGGCTGGCTGACTAGGACAGGGGGAATGGAAAAGGGGGGAACGTAATGGTGTGTGATAGAGGGCAAGGTTGGAAGCTGGCCAGGCCCCTGAGCATGCACACTCCATTTGCAAGATTTTGCGGCACCCCATGCGTCTTCTACGGCTCCCTCTGTATATGGAGTGGATTTGTACCAGGGAAATGCCCATGGCTGCCTCAGCCCAGGCTCACCCATGGGAGGTTCCTATCTCCTCAGAAGCTTTTCTGCAAGGTCTGTTGTACAAGGTTTTCCTCTACATGCAGGTCCCGATGCCCCTGAAAGAACCCAATAGTGGGGGTGGTGGGGGCTTCCACTGGTTCCCCCACCCCTTTCGCAGGAGTTAAGACTGCAAGCCCAGCTGCACTTTATCTGGGAATAGGTCCCCGTCGAATTCTGCAGGACTTAACTTCTGCAGGAGTTAACTTTCGGAGAGGACCGTACTAGCAAGCAGTTGAGGAATAGGATCCTCCTCCCTCCCTCCCCCCCACCGGCGAGGAGGCCAAAAAGGAGGAGCCACCCATGAACTCTGCCCTAAAGCGCCTGCCAGCGGCGACGCAGCCACCTTCGGCCTCCCGAGCCACAGGCTGGGCTTTCCAAACAGCGCGCGCGGGCAGCGGCGGGTGGGAGGGCTCCTTACCTGCCTGGCGCTACAGCTGGGCAAAGCCGGCCAACTGGGTCCTCCCACCGCCGCCGGCTTCGGCTGAGGCAGGGAAGGAACGGCGCAGGCGGGCAAACAAGCAAGCCGCGGCAGAGGAGGCGAAGGTCAGTTCGCCGGCTCGCCTTCAAAGAGCAGCTGCAAAGGCGGTAGGCGGTGATTCAGTTGCGCGCGCGCGCACCCCTTCTCGTTTGGGAAGGTATGCGCGCCCGGGAGAGAAACTCAAAGCGCAGGGCATGCCGGGATATATTTTTTGAGTGCTGCCCCCAAACCTGTTGCTTGGAAGGAGGTGCCGTCAGCAACGATAGAGTTAAAGATAGACACCTTCGAGGTCGCATCCCGCGGGACAGGAAAGCCCGCGGGCGACCGGTTGGAGGATTAGGAATCTCTCCGTTCCTTGAGAGGGCTTTTCAGCCCCGGGGCCGCATTGCCTTCTAAGGAACCTTCCTCGGGCCATATACCAGTGGTGGGTGGCACCAGGGGCAAAAAAAAAGAGAGGGGCAGGGTGGTGTAGTGGTTAGAGCATCGGACTAGGATCTGGGATCCCCACTCGGCCGTGGGGTGACCTTGGGCCAGTCCCTGCCTCTCTGCTTAATCTGCCTCGCAGGGTTTGTTTGCGAGGATAAAATGGGGAAGGGGGAAACCATGAGACCACCTTGAGCTCATTGGAGAAAGAGGTAGGGTGTAAATGTAATAAATGAAGTAAAAGGGCCATTTTTATCTCTGTGCAATAGACTGGTTTTGTACCCACACCCCTCTTTCTGGAAGCAAGAATCCTTCTCGTTCAAGCACACAGGGATAGGGGTGTGTGGTATGTGGAGAGCCAGATAGAGAGGCTTGAGATTTGGCCTTGGGGAGGTCCCCCCTCCTTTGTACAGCAAGAGCGCCTCATCTCACTCTGGGTGGCAGTGAACAGGCCTGTGAATGTGGGGAACATAAAATGATTGCAGGGAACAGCTGCCCTCTCACTTTTCCTCTGGAAAGGGAGAATTGGGTCTGCTGTAGTGCTCAGCAGGAAAGCGCAGCTCACAACATGGAAGGCTGGTATCCCCCCACTGCTATACTTCCCAGTAGCAGAGGCAACCTCTACAACTTTCTCTTGTTATGTCTTTATACCTGTATTCAGATTGCACCATGTGTTTAACTAGATAGGATCTAAACTTCCAATGTAATTTCTATGTAGAATTGCAGAGCCTTCTAGGTTACTCACTCTAGCCCCCTGCTAGAGGAAGGTAATCCAGAACTAGAACAACCCCCACAGATGAACATCTATTCAGCTTGAAGATATGTAACAACGATAACCCATAAGATCCCTAGGTTCTATTGTTCAGTTGTTTTCCACGAAGAAGTTTCTTCTAGCATTCAGCCATAATCTAGCCTAAGTTCGTATAGTAGAGCTATAGATGTGCAGAGCAAATCTTCAGTAGATGTCACAAAATTGGAAAGTGCAAAAACTGTCTTCTCTTTTTAACACAATACAGCCAAGATAAAGAAACTGGTAATAGCACGACTTTGCAATTCAGTGTTTAGCTCTTGCAAATTCATAATTCATTGCTCCTCAGACGTACACTAGGTGATTTCACAGCCAATAAGACAAACTATTATGGCTTTGCATAAGTGCAGAATTAAGGAACAGCACACTGTGGAGTTGCAAGTAGTGAAATCAAGCTCCAAGTATCAACACCACCAAGTGTAAAGCCTATTCATCAGGGTTACACCAGAAATAATGTATGGAATATCTCCAGTGTTTTAATACTGTCAAGCCAACGTCTTTATCAAAGACTGCAACATTTTACTTGGATTTAAGAATGGGTAGTGTGATTGATGGAAACAGGAGCAGATGTAGTAAAGAACTTAAAAGACTGTTTTGTGAATTAGATTTTAACAGCCATTTTGGCAACAAGACTGGAAAATTAATTCATACTCAGTTTTGTTATGTATAGGAAATTAAATATTTGGGTTGGTAGCTCTATTCTATAAGACTCAGTGCTGTAATCTGTTCATAATATGTCTTAATTCTGTCCTGTAAGTCACATATAAAAAAGGTAACTTTATAAAAAAAAGTTGACTTTACCCAAGTCATATATAGGTATAAAAGGTAAAAGACCCCTGGATGGTTAGGTCCAGTCAAAGGTGACTGTGGGGTGTGGTGCTCATCTCGCTTCAGGCTGAGGGAGCCGGCATTTGTCCACAGACAGCTTTCTGGGTCATGTGGCCAGCATGACTAAACTGCTTCTGGTGCAACAAAACATGGCAGAAGCCAGAGCGCATGGAAATGCCGTTTACCTTTCCGCCACAGCGGTACATATTTTTCTATTTCTGTTGGTATGCTTTCAAACTGCTAGGTTGGTAAAAGCTGGAACAGAGCAACAGGTGCTCACCCCATCATGCGGATTTGAACTGCTGACCTTCTGATTGGCAAGCCCAAGAGGCTCAGTGGTTTAGGCAACAGCACTACCTACATCCCTCTAAGCCACATATATAGATAGCAAAATGCATTGGAAAATGTGGGATAACGCTTGCTTTGATGCAACATCATCTAACCTCCCCACAACCAAATCTGAATGAATGCTCATTAAGTAGCTGGTGTCATCCACCCTAGCAAATAAACCGGAATGAATGCTCAGTAATCAGGTCGTATGGAAGTGCCCTGCCTTTCTATATACCATGCTTCCTATAGCACACAGACTACACAAATTGTCTACTTATAGGGGTGGAGACAGTGATAATGAAACAGCAAGGAGGGACTTCAACCCTTTCCAGTCTAATGAAGTATTGCCAGCATTTCATTTTAAATTCTCATGAAATACACTCTCAAATTGTAGTAATTAATTCGGGGGGGGGGGAATGAAAGAAAATATTTCAAAACGAATTGAGTGAGGATAGAAATCTTGGAGTTAAACATTTCTGCAGCTGCAGATGTAATTCTGAAACAAATTTAAGTCAGCAGTGTTTGCTTGATTGATGCATCCTATGGAATGTATAATGGGTGTTGCATGAGATCCAAGTGGAAAAGAATCTTATCCAACTGAAATAAAGCACACTCCTTTCTAGATTACATAATAACTCAGCAAAACTATGACTCATTACCATTATCCTTCTATTTTCTGAATGCTTGTAAAATGGAACTTTAAAATAGAAATATCCAAAGTAATGTGTAATGAAAATCTGGAACTCGTTTCCTTTACAGTGCACTACGTGTTTTTGTTACTGTCACAATATCATTTTACAGAAAGGTTAATTTACTTATTCCATCCAGCCCCACGTTGGCCATCATAACAACCCAATTAAGTGGGAGTGCTTCAACATAAGGTTTTGTCCCATGTGCCTGCTACAGTTGCATGTAGCAACTATTTATTATATTTTTATACTGCTGTTTCTTCAGGGGTCTCAGGGCAGTGCACATGGCTTCATGCCATGTAGTAGTAGATTAAGCAGGGACCTGGCCCTGCCATGACTGAGCAGGGATCTGAAAACAGTTCCCCCTAGTCCAGCATTCCCCAACCTTGTGTCCTCCAGATGTTTTGGACTGCAACTGCCATTAGCCCCAGCTAGCATATGTTGAGTGGGACTGATGGGAGATGTAGTCCAAGGCATCTGGAGGGCACTAGGCTGGCGAGTACTGCTCTGGTCCCTATCTGACATGCTACATCACACTGGCTCTCATGACAACTTACCTGGCATCACTTGCCTCAGTTTCCCACTCACACATTTTCAAGCTGTGGAAATTATGAAAATTGCCACCTAGAAGCTGCAGCTGTATCTGGAGTTATGTATCACAGAGGAGCCTTAGACCATGTGACCTGTCCCCAGCGGCGTAGCGTGGGTTGTCAGCACCTGGGGCAAGGCAAGTAATTTGCGCCCCCTAACCCATGGATTTGCGCCCCCTAACCCTGTGGATTTGCACCCCCTAACCCATGGATTTGCCCTAACCCCAGATGTTGCGCCCAGTGCGGCCGGCCCCCCCTGCACCCCCCACGCTACGCCACTGCCTGTCCCATGGGAGAAATAAGTAGGTGATTAATGTTAATCATCTGCTACACAGGGCATTTCTTAAGAATGTGCTCCTGCATGGTCACAACTGGATGGAATTTACTGTGCCGGAAAGTTCTGCTTCTAAAGGAACAAGTGCCACCCTGCTGGGACACATTTAGAAGAAAAACGTTTCATATGAAGACTTGCATGGAAAAACCATCTTACGATAGCTTGGCTTTGTAATCACACCTGAGTATTGTCCACTAGTCATGCAACAGCTTTGGTAAAGCAGTCAGTTGCCATGGATGAGCAAAGGATTCATTTTGGAACATGATTATTCTTACAGTTAACCTTTTTAGAACTATTCTGTGTATGATGGATCTTGAAAGTTTGAGAAAAGGTTTTTAAAAACAAACAAAAATTGTTAGTTTAGGAAAGTACCATAAGATTATGTGATCACGGAATTATGCAGTGATTTGGCTAATAGAGATAAAGGACTTGCTAAATTATGCTAAATTATGAGATGTATGTAGGTGCTGTTTCTGTAGGTGCTCTATTCCACACTTTCCCTGGCTTATGTAGGACTCATATGGGAGGAATCATGCCAAAGGCATTCCCCTCAGCAATGCTAGGATGCTGGTGTGGTTCTTGCTCTGTGATCTTCCCTTTTCCAAGCAGTTTCTACATTCATGTGTTGTTACAGTAACATGGAATAGAATAAGAGATTAGTTCTTCAGGCACTTCCATGGCATGAGAATCAGATGAATAAGACAAGATTTGCAGGGAAGGTTTGCAGTATCCACAATCTAGCAAAGTGAAGCACATATCAATCAGCTCCACTGATTTCTCTCTACCTGAAATCAATGGAACAACGGTGTTTAACTTGCCCAGAATTAATGGTTTCCATATATGAAAGCAGTCTTGAAAAACACTGTCTGGTCCACAGTTTTTGGAAATGAGGTATCTCCATGTTTCAAGAAATAAATTCAGCCCCAGTTTTCTCCTTTGGTTGAATAAAGATCAAAGTAGGGAAAGAGACTGAAGAAATAGTTTTCTTTAACTGTCTTCAGGCCCAGGCACATTTTTCCTGTTTGAAAAACACCAGACATTTCTGTCAAACTTTAAGAACAGC